CTCTCTCTCTCTCTCTCTCCCTCGGTGTGTCAGTGTTTTTGTTTGTGCTGGCACAGTCATCTCACCCAAGGCTGGCCATTCTTGGAGTGCTGAAATTGCATCCAAACAGTCTCTGCCTCATGGCCCCGGTTTGCAGCTCATTCTCATGGATGTGCTCATCGCAGAGCAAGAGGGAGTGGTATTGCCCGCTGGGTGATGTGACTAGAGACTCTGTTCGTGTCGGAAATTTATTAGCGAACAGGTGGGCTGGGGGGAACACCATAGCATGGTCTTTGTTCTCAGACAGCTTAACAGGGGGGCATGACCTGCCTCATGAACCACATAGCTACCAGGGTGGTCCTGCTCGCCCTCCTCCTCGCATCGTTGGGACATGCGTTCATCATCGAGCAACCTGGCAGTGCAAAGCTGGGAGATATGCCACGATTTCGGCAAATGTGTGATGAGATTCTCTATGTGGCTTAACTGAACGATATTCTGTGTGCAGTCTGTATTTGAAGCCATGGACAAGCACTTCAGAGTTCAGGTGTTCCGGATTAAATTCAATATGCTTGTGCATGGAGCTGAATCTCTGAAACCTACGATGTTGTGGTCCAATTCCAGCCACATCTCCCAGCTGGATATGGGGCCAGTGACAAAGGTGCAACATTGGTTTTCTGTGTTCCTTCCGCACATGTAATATATGTCTGCTACCGCAGGAAATGCGCGCTGCGGCCAAGTCTTTGTCCAAGGTCAAAAAGGACAGGAAAGGGTCCAAAAAAAGCACGGGTGACACCACACGTCTCAAACACAGTCAGAGATCTGGCAGCACCTGGTTGTTTCATCATCATATGTATATATATAACCTGTTCGGTGCTATTTCTCAACTGAGGACGTACCCTCCTGGCTTTGGACATCGTGTGTCTGCTTTGCTGCCGAATATATGCCAGGGAATCCAAGGATTCAGGCATCCCAAGGACCTCGTCAGCTGGTGCTATACACAGACAGAGACAGAGGGAGAGACGGAGTGTGGATAGGTTCGATATACCTATCTATCTATCTGTCTATCTATATATATATATATATCTACCTACCTATCTATCGGTCTTTCTATCTACTTATCTACGCACCTGTATATGGGTGTTTAGATAGGTACATGGAAAGATCGATAGATAGGTTGGTAGGTACATAGATAGATAGATAGATAGATAGTTAAAAAAATATAGGTATTGTATATATATACATATGGTAGACAGATAGAGATAGATCGGGATAGAGAGACAGATAGGTGTAGGACAGAGATAGATGGATAGCTAGAAAGATAGATACAAATAGATACATAGATGGATAATTAGATATGGGTTGGGATCTCTACTTTAAAGTGAAACTATGTGGACATCGGTGAAGCTTTTAGCTGGCTACGGGGAGGTGGGGGTGGTCCAAAGCCAGCTAAAGAGCTTCACACAGGGTGGCTACAGGGTGCTTTGGGTGGTCCTAAGCCAGTTAAAAGCTCCACAGAAAGGGGGCTATGGGTTAAATATAGATATATAGACAGAGAAGTGCAGACATGATACAATCAATAATATATATATATATATGTATATAGACATATAATTGTTAATGGAAATTTAGATATACGTGTGTATATATAAATACATACATATATATAATATAGAATATATGTGTGTGCATATATATATGTATGTTATCATATTCATATTCATCTATATATACACATATATATATATGTATATGTATAATTTCACATATATATAGATATATGTAATGTGTGTATATATATTTATAAATGTGAAATATACATATATATATATGTACACGTATTCATGTGTCTGCATGTATGTATATATGTATATGTATATGTATGACTATATATATAACATATACATATTATATATTTCTAGTTTAATGGATAAATGTGTGTGTTACATGCATGTAGATATATGCAGAAGAGAGCATTAGGCGGAGCCAAACATCAAGTAAACTTCTACACTCCCGAAGAAAACCCCGCCTGCTACTCCAGGACCATGGTGGTGCTTCTCTGGCACAGATCTTCGAGGCCTTGAGGTCGGATGGTGATCTTTGGGAAGATGCAGATATGGAGTCTGTTTGTATGTATTTGCGTGGATCAAAAGATCTCGAGCTTCCGGACACGATGCGCTCTGTGCTCCGGATGAACACAGCTGATAGCTGTGTGTGCCCAGAGATGTAGCATTCTTACCTCTAGTAATTCGTAATTAATTCTGTATATATGTGCTGGTTGCACTCCATGGCCTTTGACCAAAAATGATGTGCTGTCTGCGTTGAAGAGTTTATGTGGTGCGGTATTTGTGGTTTCGCCTCCGCTAAATATGCTGCCCAAAACCACCTCGTTCCGTAGAGCGCGTCGATTCCGCAAAAAACCAGTTTAGAGCGAGCGTGGAAAACCTCCGAATAAACCACTCTTTAGCGTGAGGAAACCACTCTTTCACAGACTTGGCGTGGATTTGGAATCTTGGTTTTTAGGGGTCGTGTTCTGTTTTGCTGACTTGGTTTCCTTGCTGGCTTGCTTGTAGGGCAGTTAAACTTTCTGGTTTCCTCTAGAAACCTGGTTTCCGCGGTATAAAGTGGTTTCAGGGGATGGTGAATGGTTGCCTGTGGTTGTTCCCGAGCCCAAAACAAAGCAAATCCTACATAATCTACATCGCAGCCCTTAACAATCATTCTTCCCTCTGAAATATGCACGTGTTCTGCCAGGCCGGCGAGCCTCATCGGCGTTTGAGCAGAAGCTCCAGTCGGCAGGTGCTTCCCATCCTTGCCTTGGATCACAGGTTGTGTCTGTTGCCTCACACATGTTAGCTTTTTCTGTATGTATATATATATATAATATGTGTATATATATATTATATATATATATATATTTAATTATTCAGAGATTATATAGTTTTACATGTTCTATTGTATTGTGTGTGGTTTCAAGCTACACAGACCTTCTATGTTTATGCCATGTGAAGCTATGTTTCTTTGTTTCCTATTTACATAGCACTTGTAGTACTCTTATTATATTCTTCCATTACAATTTCATGAGAATATATACTGTGTTATTCTGTCTTTCTATCTTATATATATGGTATATCTAGTACACATTTACAGAATAGTTATATCGTTCTTCTGTTCACTTTCTAATACTGTACTGTATATATAATTTGTAGTCTCATTAGGTTACATATATGCTCTGCTATACAATATTGCTTTAAATTTTATGGTTATACTTATAATGATATACCATATATTATAGTCTCCTAGAAACAATCAGTTCTGCATGATATAATTCTCTAGTCTGTGCAAACTTCATTTCTTGTTTATGTTGTTGTTGCTTTGTCCTAATGTTCTGTGTTCCATGTGTAATGTCAGTTCGCCGCATCGTACATTGCCTTGTGCTCTAACATGCTGTGTTGTATTCTGCTAGTTTTATTATACTATATATCTATGTATACATATATATATATATGCATGTACTACATCCTCTTAAATATTATAAGCTAGAATAGTTCCAGTAGTCGATATATAATGGTATTATACACATTATATGGTATTATGTAAGATTGCCTTATCTAACATTAGAATACATCTCGTTCGTATGCTGGCCTACCTATACTATACGATGAGCATGATTCATGGACTGGATCTGAATCGTAAACTGAAAGACACACACAAGGATAGTATGACATGTGTGTGCCTTTCAGTTTACGATTCAGTCCTATTTGATCTATATCATGTACCTATACACAGTGACAAATACAATTGCACTCTGCATAGGGTACCCAAATTCTGAATGTGGAGTGAAATTGTAGTTTGCTCTGTGTCTATTCATATTTATCATATTTAACTATTGTAGTCAAGTTATGCTTCCTGAAGCCATGCCAACAGCAGCACTGTGAACCTTGATTGTCATGGCTCTTGTCTGATGCATGCAAGTGACTGAATGAATTGCCATGCTGCTGTGATCTCGAGACAATTAGAAGTCTTGACGGTGCTCTGTGCAACAGTCATGGATATGCGCCACGGGTCCCGAAGCTTCAGTTGCAGTTCCTTGATGGACGGCCAAGAGGCACTCAAGCTGCAAAAGCAGCCATCGATGAGCGTCCCGGTGCCCAAAGCTCCTTGGATGAACTAGTGGCTTGTGGCTTATCCCAGCATATCTCGCGACTGCTGCAGTACTCACATGCCCACTGGAAGCCTGTGTGCATTCTTTCTCGCTGTGTGCTGCTTTACTGCCAAGGCCCAAGTGAAGCAGTGCTTGACTCGCGGTAGATGGTCTTCAGCATGTCCTGTCAGGAGCACATAGCTAAGGTCAAGCAGGAACAGCATTGGTTGGGTGAAACGTTGGAGCTGTTTTCCCCGAGATCCAGAAGCCTCATTGCCAAGCTAGAGGACACCCTTGAAAGCCGGACATTGGTGGCCAGAATGTTGGAGAAGAAGAATGGGGCACATGGTGTCTTAGATCTATGAAAGTAATTATCGTAAACCGATATTTACTTACATAAATTTCGACAGACCTAGATGTGCATGTATATAGGTATATATGTGCACGCACACACACACACACACTTCTCTAATCTTGTTACATCAAATTATACGATATATGGATAAAACACATGAACAAGTGTGTGTATGTGTGTATGTATGTATGTATCTCTAGGTATGTATCTACATG